GTATCCCTACACATAACCCAACACTTAGCACATTATAAATGCTCAGTAAAAGACCATGGGACTTAATTATCAAATTGAAAACAATTTATTTCTGGAAACACTTCAACCTGGAAGTAGACTGTGCATTTCAGAGAGAATTCTTTGTTTTAGGAAAAACCAATCTAGTAAGCAGAATAACAAAGCAGGGAGACCAAAGACCAGTAGCCTTTTCCAGTTGCCAGAAAAACTCCCTGTGGTTGAATGCAGGTGAATTCAAAAAAACCTGTTAGCTGAAACAAGGGTAGCCTTATAGGAGAAGGGTGCTCAATACCCAACCTTGAGATAATCCAACCAAAGAGCCCATTTCAAAAGAACAGAATTTCGGCCATTTCTGTGAACCATCACTTTAACCCAGATGGATTCTTGTTAAACTCAGAAAGAAAAAAAAATTTTAAAAACTTACTCAAAACAATTTTCCAGGAAAAAGTACAATAGATTATATATGTTCACCAATTTACTCCTGGAACCTAAAACCTTGATCTATTTACTATCCTGGTCCTACACAAAACAACAGTAGTTCTAAAAAATAAAAAAAATAGAACTATCTTGAAAGGCAAACTGCAATCACAGGGTTAGCCTCTACAGTATACACCAGTAGAGACCAAATTCTAAAACTCTTAACTATGCGAAACAACTTGCAATACTGTAGTCCTCTAGACCTGAGAGATTCTAAGAATGAAAATGAACTGGGGTGAAGGTAGAAGACCAGAATTCTAGACTCAGCATCAGTTTCTTCTGTCCCACCAAGCAAAGAACTTACCTTCACCTCCTACTCTTAATCCGAAAGTTGAATATGTTGAACTTGACATGATTTTCAGGCTCTTTCAAGGCACATTACTTTAAAAAACCCCATGTCTGACTTTTTTTTAATGAAAATAAAAGTAAAAAGTGGTGAAACTGCCCATAAACTGTCTTAGTATGTAAGAGTTTTAAGTGATTCCTGGGTTGTCCTGCCCAGACCTAGCTCAGAAGACCAATGCTGAGATCTCACGATTTTACTCTCAGGGGTTGGGAATGCTGACTGCAGATTGCTTACAGCTGATTCCACTCAAGGAGTTAATCTCAGATGCAGGGGTTTACTGGTAACAAACACTTCTTCCCAAAGAAGAACCACCAAATATCAGTCATTGCAGAGGTACAGAAGCTCAGCCCTCTTGCCTCAATTTAAGACATCTCCAAAAGGCAGTCCTAGGTCTAGAGCCACCTAATTTAAAAAATCCAGGTGCCAGTATTATTTTGTGTCTGTTCTTAAGATTTCCGAACCTCTATTCTGAGATGCAATTACTTTACAATGTCTGATCTTTGTAAGAATTTATTTGAAACTTCGTTAGGAAGAACCAAAGCAGTCTTGGCTGTTGTTCACTTGCTCAGTTTTTGCGACCCCCATGGACTGCAGCACGCCAGGCTTCCCTGACCTTCACTGTCTCCCAGAGATGGGTCAAACTCATGCTCATTGAGTCAATGATGCCATCCAACCATCTCATCCTCTTTGCCCCCTTCTCCTTCTGCCTTCAATCCTTCATCTTTAGCCTGGAGTTAATTTTGCCTCGATAATGAAGCAATAAATAACGTTCTGAATACTTTGCCCAATACCCGCCCCCATGTGGCTGATGGGAATTCCAACAATTTCTGACCCTCTCTGTGCTCAGGGTATTATTTTGATTGCTCCTTTTTGGTAGTTATTTTCCCAGCTTTGAGAAGTCAGATGAAGATCCAAGACTCTCAAAGATGTTTGGAGCACCCTCTCCCTCTTTCTCTCAATCTCTCTCTGCAGCTCTCTCCAATATTTTTCTCTGAGAACTCTAACCACATCAATGCTCCCAAACTCCCAAAGCTGTCTCCTCAGCTCAAAATACAAATGAGAACACAAGACTATATCAAGGAAATGAAGCATCATGATCAAACTGACCAAGTTTATGCATCAATCCATGCAAATCTACATGATTTTTCTCAAATAAGTATCAGTCAGTATGACCCCCTTTCCTAGAAATCCCAGACATATCTGAAATACAGAACAAGTACACTTCCCAGGAAGTTTTATTAAGATGTTTAATTAGCAGGATATACTATAAAACACATTTACCTAGAATCATTGACATTTCTCAGATGATTTCAACCTACAAAACCAAATACTCTTACACCCCAGTAAACTGCCGATAACTGAGCTACCAGCATCCTTCTCATGGTCTCTATACCTCATGGTTTCATAGTTAACAAAGATGGAATTCCTGTACAACAAACTCCCCTGTTTTCAGAGAACTTTTTGGTGTCCCCTGACAGTTGTGGGTCCCTGCAGTCATGCAGGAATCACACACTCTTGTACCCAAAGACATAGAGTTATACAAGTCAAGATGAGCTCAGAAAATTTTCCACCTACCAGAAATTTGGAATGAAACCTAGAGATACCAATTAATTTCTTTAGTGCCTGAACTAAAATAACCTTTACAATGGTTTGCAGCTCTTACATGGAAAAGCTGAGATAAGCTGATCTACAGAGAAGAGAGTGAAGATGAGCTACAAAGAGAAACAGATTTGGGAGAGAGTGAATGAGGTTATAACAGCTTTACAATTCTCAGTAATTTCCCTGTGTGAGATACATCTATGTTTCCTGACATGAATTCCAATAAGAAACAACTGGGTTGGCAAAAAATTCCATGCGGGCCTTTCTGCACAATGTTATGTAAAAACCCAAATGAACTTTTTGGCCAACTCAATATTTTAATAAATTCTCCTTTTTCACTTAAACTAGAATAACAGAAAAATTAGCGTAACATGCCTTATGGGATGTAATCAAAATGCAACTTTATCTCCCATTGTCCCTTTAAACTTTATTCACTAAAAGAAAAATTTTCTCTTGCCCTTGCATGAAATTGTTTCTCTAGTAAACCCTGTAAGTTTCTGTTTTCATTTAAGTATAAAATGTCCTCCAGTCACTTTAAAATACAAAAACTGCCTCAGTTCTCTAAAGTATCTGGGCCTAGATAATCATGCAAACTCAATTTTCCTCTCAGGCTACTACTGACAGTTAGCAACCTGCAAGTGGAAATGCGGGAGAAGCTGGGTGGGGGCATCATCTCTCTTTCTCTACTCACCATGTCTCCTCTCACTAGTTTCTGACATCCCCAGGGTTGAATCCAGGTGGGAAAGAGGCACTGGAGTCAAGAGCAGTCATATAGGAAATGCTAGAATCAACTAGCAATAGACCCCTCTCAGTGAAAGATGTTCAGATGCTCACATATTTCATCAGAACCTTAGTGAATTTTCTAGAGGAATACCCCAATCACTACAGGCTTAATGCCTACAATTCCTGCAACGTGACACATACACATATTATTTTGGTAGCCCTCTCTTCTTTGGCCCTCACATTCCCAGGAATCCAGGTAATCTGTGCCATACAAAACTCTTTCTTGGAATTCTCAGGTTCTCTGAGAGGTTCTCTTGGACAGACTTAGACATGGCTTCACCATTTCTGTCTTTCCCATGAGTTCTACCCTTGGTGCATGGGAAGAAGGCATTCTCTGCACAACTGCCACTAGGAGTGAATGATGTTTCAGACAGTCCTCTGTTCTCTTCCTTGGCCCTGCTGCCACCCATTGACAGCAACAGCCCCTCACCTGGGTCTGCAGATAGATCTGATATTTTCTGAGTTGTCCTATTGAGGCAGAAGGACTCTCACTTCTTTCTCATGGAGAAGTGGGAATCTAGGCAAGAGTTGATACATTTCTTTTGTCTTCCCTGGGTCCTTTTATGCAACTGACCTGGGTCATGGTGCCTGAGACATCCAAGAGTCTAAAAAAAAAAATCTGTCTGCTTTGTTCATTTCAATACAGGACCTTTGCTTTGAGTATAGCTCCCAGTTCCATCCTGGTACCTCAGGAAAGTTACATTTTATCATGCAACATTAACATTAGTTGGTTTCTGTTACTTTCCCTCCCATCCCTGACAAAGAACCATTAATGAAGCACCCCCAGTATTTATGGTGAATATCTACATTATAGGCTTTATGAACATGAAGGTAAATCTCACTGTTGAATGACTGTGTTAATGCAAGGTAACTGTTCTCTGAGTCAAGAATTTGAATCACATTAACTAACAAATGAGCTAGAAAACAATTCTACATCCTTGTCCATGTGTTATCTTGAATTTCTTTATCCAGAGTGGACTAGAAAGTAAACCTTGTGAAATGGTTTAATGAAAAGATTATTCTTATTTTGAAAATAGAGGTTGTGAAAGTATCAAAAGTATAAAAGGCGAGGAGTGTAGAATATGACTGTGGCTTAAATCTATGACTATTATCATAGATGGAGAAGGAAAATGCAACCCACTCCAGTACTCTTGCCTGGAAAATCCCATGGACAGAGGAGCATGGTAGGCTATAGTCCATGGGGTCACAAAGAGTTGGACACAACTGAAGACTTCACTTTCTTTCTTTTATTATCATAGAACCCATGAGATCATTGATTCACTGAAGAAATATTAACTGGGTACCTACGCATATACCTGGAGTAGGACATGGCAACCCACTCCAGTATTCTGGCCTGGAGAATTCCATGGACAGTGGAGCCTGGCACTGGAGTCCATAGGGTCACGAAGAGTTGGACACATCTGAGCACCCCATCCACCACCACTTAGCATGTACAATCCATTATGATGGATGGTAAGTACAAATGCTGAATAAAATGGGCATGATTCCTGCTTCTTTGAAGCTTTCTATATTCACTCTAGCTAAACACACACACACACAAAAAGAAAGATTCATGAAATTATTTCTGCCAGTGCCCTACTTACTCATCAAGGAAGAGAGAAAATTGTGATGAAAGGTAAAATCTGCTTAATTTATGATGTGAAAATATGTACAGGAAACATGTGCCTTTAGTCATAAATGTGAATCCTTAGAAACCCAGGTGCTTGTACAAATTTTTTCCATGAGGCAAAAATAAATGAACTGACCTTTAACAGAGTAATGGTAAAGAAATATTTTTGCTGTGTATAATATGAAGTTAACAGGAAAAAATAATAAGGTAACCACATTTCTGCAGAATTGCTCTCCTCCAATCTGAAGAAATTAAAGGAAGGTGAAGAATGCAGCCCAGGACAGGAGCTCAACATCTGATGAGGAAAACACCTGTAAATACATACACATACATGTCATGCATAGTACACAGAACAGCCCTCCTCATTCACCAATGCTGCTTTCATCTTGCACATTCAAGGAGGACAAGGTTGATATTATAATAATGATGACATGTAAGATACTATAGGGTTTATTTTGGTAACAGAAATCTGATTTTAAATTTTATAAACTACCTTATTCCGTTATTTATGATGTTCTTGAATATTTTATTTACATTTTGCTTTATTAGAGATGTCCTATGTAGGACATGAATTTTGAAGAATTATCTTTCAGATTGTCAGAAGACCTACTAATATTACCTAAAACCAGCTGATTTAAGTCCTAGCTGATACCCATGGACAGTCAGACATCTGTAAACCATGAATATTTAGAAAGCTGCTTTAAAAGATTTTATCAGAAATGAATGATGATAACCTGCATTGTTACCTCTGGATACTCAGCGTGTACTTAGCCAGTGTCTACTACTATTCAATACTAATTGATGATTCTTTTCTAGATTTTGGAACTCAGAACAGTCTCTTGAGAAATGACTTACAATTAGGGTTAATTCATAATCCAGCTCAGGACACTCTTGAGATCGAAAAGAGGAATTATTCCAAGACAGGGAAACAAATGTTCACTGATGAATGGATAAAGATATGGTACATATGTAGATATGGTACATAGGTAGATAAAGATATGGCACATATGTATGGCTTTTTTAGCCATAAAAAAGAATGAAACATTGCCATTTGCAGCAACATGGATGTACATACTCAGTGAAGTAAGTTAGACAAAGACAAATATCATATGATTTAGCTTATATATGGAATCTAAAATATGACACAAATGAACCTATCTACATAAACAGACTCAGAAACATAGAGAACAGACTGGGGGTTGCCAAGGGGAAGAGGGGGTGTGGGAGGGATGAACTGGGAGTTTGGCATTAGCAGATGCAAACTATTATATATATTAATAGAATGTATGAACAACAAGTCCCTACTGTTTAGCACAGGGAACTATATTTAATTTCCTATAATAAGCCATAATGAAAAGAAATATGAAAAAGAATGTGTGTGTGTATATATATATATATATGTATATGTGTACATATACATATATATATGTATAACTGAGTCACTTTGCTATACAGCAAAACTAAGACAAATTGTAAATCAACCATACTTCATTAAAATAAAAAAAATTTTAAAGGAGGAGCTATTAATAAATATGCCAAATAAGAGGTATAAACCAGTAAAAGGCAACTCATGATCATCCTAGCTGAGTTTTCAATCAAACTACCTAAATACAGAGTCTAGGACATTTGCTTTTCTTGAACAGAAGAATAAAAATGTAACTCTGAAGGAAGCAGATGTCACAATGTGAGGAAATACACACCATGTGTGGAGGCTCATGGCTGAGACTTGTGTGTCCTCAGCTGCTTAAACTGCTAAAGATAGAAGCAAGGAAGAGAGGAAAAAGATTTGATCTCACACCTCACTGCCCACACAGTGTCCACCTCCTCCATATGGTGGCTAACTCATAGGCTCTCTGAGTTAATAACTAGAGTGCTCAGGATGAGCATGACATTGACTCATGAACCATGCGATCCCATCACAGAAAAGCAGAGCAACTGGGAGCAAGAAACATTGCAAAAGAGCAAATTTTGCTAACTCACTTACAAACTGCAACTCTGCAGGACTGCTCTGGGGAAATTTAGACTAGTATAATTTACCAACTATTTACCTTTAACTATAAATTATTTTCTCAGTATCATCTTCCTAGATTCCATATATATGTGTTAATTGCAGGGCAGCAATGGAGTCGCAGACATAGAGAGCAGAATTGTGAACACAGTGGGGGAAGGAGAGGGTGAAACAAATTGAGAGAGTAGCGTGAAAACATATACATTACCATATATAAAATAGATAGCCAGTGGGAATATGCTACATGACACAGGGAAACCAAAGCAGGTGCTCTGTGACAACCTGAGGGGGGCGGGGCAAAGATGAGGAGGGAGGTTGGAGGGAGATTTAAGAGAGAGGGTACCTATGTATACCTATGGCTGACTCATATTGACATATGGCAGAAACCAACACGACATTATAAAGTAATTATCCTCCAATTAAAAATACATTTTAAAATAAATAATTTTCTCTATTAATATCTATATTAGAATCTTTTGTGTCAACAGGACTCTGACATTAGGGTTATTTATGTAACTTAAGGTTATCTCTCTGATATACCCAGCAGGATGCTGGATCACCTCCCATATTCAGAAAGCTATAGATAAGTGCGGTTTTCTAATGACCTCTCAGAAAATGGTGGGTTAGGCCAAGAGTATTTGTGTTTATTCCCGAAACAGAAAGGCATAACTTTATTTGAATAAATTACTTTTTGGGAATTATCTTTGCTACTGATACATTATCAAAATGGAAAATCACAAATTTATAACACATTCTTTCTACACTTTCATTCATTTGTTCATTTATTAATTTATTCAACAAGTATTTATGTCTACCAAGCAGGAGACATTGTGCTTGGCTATAAGGACACAGTGATGGATAAAACACAGCGTGGCTTCTGCTTTTATAAAGCTTTCCACTTAGTGAAGGAGACAGACAACAAAGAAGTAAATAAACCTACAGATCAAGAATATGGTCTGAGTCACTAGGAAATAAAAAGGGGATATATTTAGATAGAGTGGTCAAAGAAGGCTCTTGGAGAAGGTCTCCACTTGCTCCATTCTTTGTTACGGGCTTTATATTCTCTCTCTCTTTTTTCATTTCTTCAAATTTCTAATCTTAAGTGACATACTCTTATGAATTCATTTTCTCTCTTCTTCACATTTATTTGGTTGCCTTATTATTCTACACTTCTACTCCCTCTTGTGTATGTGGCCTGACAGCTAGCAATTCTTATGAAAATTCCCCATTTTTCTCTGGTATATGGAAATTTAAAATCAAAACTTTATTCATCATTCATTTCATGTTTACAACTTTGTCACACTATACTAGAAAATACTGTTTAAGATGTGAAACAAGGGTCAGAGCATGTACTGTAACCTTTTATTTGAAATTTCTTGTATGACCCGTATTGTTTTTCTAGAAAAAATAATCAAATCAGTTAGTGAGGCTACTTGTCCCATGAACATACCTTGGGTTTCTGATTTTCTGCCCTCTGGCTCAGAATTTTAATGGGATTCTTCTAAACACTTAACAAAGCATCTGCAACACCAGATCAAGGCATAAGAAGGTGTTTCTAATCACTTTATGTAAGCAAGTCAATAAATTCATTAAACTGCATATGGTGGGGTATTGCATACAGTGGGGTATATAAGAACAGCCTTGTCCCTCAAGCTGACAGGCCAGTAGAGCAGAGAAATTTGCTTTCATTACTAAGTAACATCCACTTATCTAAGCTTCATTAGTCTATTGGTAATAAATGGAGCTCATATTAACAATAATAATTCTAATTTCACAAGTTCTTATCTGATTGCTGAAGCATAGACTTCAACTCCATGCTGAGCCCCCACTAATATTTCTGGTGTCTGTCAGGTACTATATTCTGCTCCTCCCAAGGGACAGAAGTCCTGCATGCGCTTCTATCCCGCATGCAGAACATAGTACCGTCAATGTTTATTTATAATCTCATGCTTAGTCCTTCAGTCGAGTCCGACTCTTTGCAACCCCATGGACTGTAGCCCACCAGGCTCCTCTGTTCATGGGATTTTCCAGGCAAGAATACTGAAGAGGGTTGCCATTCCCTTCTTCCAGATCACCTTCTCAAACCAGGAATTGAACTGGGGTCTCCTACATTGCTGGTGGGTTCTTTATGAACTGAGCTAAATCTATTCTCTTCCTGGTACCCAGCTTTGTTATTAACCTGATCTACTGTGCCTGAATCCTATTCTTGAAATGAATAGGGTCCTTTTCCTGTAAAAATTAACAATAATTTTTTTCATCTTTGTTCTCTATAAAAGTCATTGGGCATTTTTTTTTCCACATCATAAACTTATTTTCTATTTGATATATTGGGGTTCTACCACATAACTCCTTACATTATGAATGATGACTTTATAGCTGAAGCTTGGAAGCATCTCTCTAAAAGCAAATTTCTATATTAAATATTAAAGCTTTACATTAAAAAGGTAAGAGACACAGGTAGAGAAAAGATAATTAAAGTTACAAAGAAAGAACTAGACAGGAAAATAAGTGATCTAAGTATAATTCTGGGTTGTCAAGAATTTTTTAAAATTTCAAAGAACAGGACAATCCAGATCTCTTTGCACTCATTCATCTCTTCCTCTACTCTGCTAATGTAGTATCTGCTATCAGTCTCTATCACTCAAGGCAATCCTTAGACCTCAAAGGAAGGTATACAGATATTCCTGAAAATTTTTGTTTGTGATTACTTTGCCTTAAAGAATAGAGGAAATGGGAGTTGCCAGTTGTCAAGTATGTTTATATAGCAAGTGTTTTGTTTGTTAATATCCTGCCTTAAGGAAAGAAGAGATGGGAGTTTTGAGTTGTCACATTGATTTTAGTGTTGAATAGGTTTCTTTAAAAAGACAGGCATAAGCTTGCATTTGTCAGCAATTGCTAACAATAAAATTGTCTATTTCTAGCAGGGTGGTATTTTATTTCACTAAGAAGTCAAAAGTTAAAGACTTAATAAAAAATAAATCTCCTACTTGCGGTGACTGAAATAGAAAAAGGCACACAAAGAAGATCAAAACCAGTAAGAGGACCACAACTTCACCAAAGAGCTCATCCTGTTGTTCCAGAGCTTGCTGGAGACACATCCCAACTCCCTCACCTTTGGATGAATGTTAGAACCATGACCCAGGAAGACAGGTCCAGTCCAGTGAAATTACTGACATCACATCCACTGCCATCTACGCAAATACAGACCACTGGCCCCCATCTGAAAAGAGACCCATCCCCACAGGCGAAATAGCAACATGGATGTTCTGACTGAATTCTGTATTAACATCCATACTCCGATAG